CTTGGCTCATTGCAACCTGTGCTTCCCGGGTTCAAGCAATTCTCCTGCTTCAGCCCGAGTAGCTGGGATTACAGGTGCCTGACACCACACCAGGCTAATTTTTTTTTGTTGTATTTTTAGTAGAGACAGGATTTCACCATGTTGGCCAGGCTGGTCTTGAACTCCTGACCTTGTGATCTGCCTGCTTCGGCCTCCCAAAGTGCTGATATTACAAGGTGAGCCACCATGGTTTTTTGTCTGTTTTGTTTTTTTTAGCAGCTATAGCTTATAAAGCATAATCACAAATTTTATACGCTTCACATCAACTGTGAATTTAGTATCTCCATCATTTTACAGAGGCTGCAGAGGGAGCTCAGAAATGCTGTGATTTATTAAAAGTCATTTTAGGTCGGATGAGGTGGCTCATGCCTGTAATCCCAGCACTTTGGGAGGCAGAGGTGGGTGGATCACCTGAGGTCAGGAGTTCCAGACCAGCCTGGTCAACATGGTGAAACCCCATCTCTACTAAAAATACAAAAATTAGCCAGGTGTGGTGGCAGGTACCTGTAATCTCAGCTACTCAGGAGGCTGAGGCAGGAGAATTGCTTGAACCCAGGAGGCAGAGGTTGCAGTCAGCCAAGATCATGCCATTGCGCTCCAGCCTGGGAGACAAGAGCAAGACTTTGTCTCAAAAAAAAGTTAAAAAGTTATGATAGGCTGGGCGCAGTGGCTCATGCCTGTAATCCCAGCACTTTGGGAGGCCGAGGCGGGCGGATCACGAGGTCAAGAGATCGAGACCATCCTGGCTAACATGGTGAAACTCCATCTCTAATAAAAAATACAAAAATAGCTGGGCATGGTGGCGTATGCCTGTAGTCCCAGCTACTTGGGAGGCTGAGACAGGAGAATTGCTTGAACCCAGGAGGTGGAGATTGCAGTGAGCCGAGATTATGCCACTGCACTCCAGCCTGGCGCCTCAAAACAGAGCAAGACTGTCTCAAAAAAAAAAAGTTATGATAATGAAAGACCTAGAGTTAAGATCCAGATATGGGTTCAAACCCAATGCTCTTTCCATTATATCATAGCATAGCTAGGATGATGAAAGCAAAAAAAAGGAATTTTTTTAATAGGGAAAATTTGAGACTCACAATAAAGCTAGAATTAGCAAGACTTTAATTGGATAGCTTTAAATTAACTGTCACTGACATTCTGAGAAGAAAGGTGACCAAAGCTTCTTTTCAAACTGAAGATTAATACATTCCCCCTTCTTATTCTTACAGGACATTGATATGCAGCTGGGTGAAATAATGAACAATGTGCATCGAATAATGACTCGCTATACTCTTGTTTTTAACTCACCCCCTGAAAGGAATGTCTCCCTTGCAGAACATAAGAGAAAACAGAGAACCAGTTTTCTTGAGAAAATGGCTACTTACGCTAAGACTGCTGAAATTAGAGAAAAGACTCTTGTCAACATTCTGGTCTGGCTGGAAGAATGGAGTAAGTTTACTGAAGTAGTTCAGAGGAAAACCACAAAGTTAATGAAAAAGATAGAATATATAAGTAAATTTTGAAGGATTAATTCGACTAAAGAAGAAAAGACTAAGGAAGTTATTCAGAGAATAGTTATCCTCTATTCCAGTAGGAAATAGGAAAAAATATAGGCTTATTCACTTAGTACCAGCTCTGCAGGACTCGTTGCTTTTTTTTAAAGCATGCCAGCAGTGTCTTTATGCATACTATTCCCTTATCTGGAGCATCTTCCACCAGATGGACACATGGTTCATTTCCTGCTTAAATTCCACTTTAAAATGAGATGTTCTCTGACCATGCCCATTCCCTACCACTTGGCACTTTTCTTTACACTTTACCTTTTTTTTTGGTTGTTTGTTTAGATGAAGTCTCACTCTCTTGCCCAAGCTGGAGTGCAATGGCACAATCTTGGCTCACTGCAACCTCCACCTCCCGGGTTCAAATGATTCTCCTGCCTCAGCCTCCCAAGTAGCTGGGACTACAGGCACCTGCCACCACGCCTGGCTAATTTTTGTATTTTTAGTAGAGACGGGGTTTCACCATGTTGGTTAGGCTGGTCTCGAATTCCTGACCTTATGATCTGCCTGCCTTGGCCTCCTGAACTGCTGGGATTACAGGTGTTAGCCACTGCACCCGGCCAGTTTCTTTCAATTTCTTCATTGAGGAAAGCTTCAGAATGGCAATAAGTGTGGGATACCTATATTCCCCAACACAACTATATTGAGTAATTACCCAGTATTATAGGCTTATATATAGTTATTTATTTTGCTGCACAAAAATGATTTTTTTTTCTCTCTTCAAGATGCCATTTTGTCTGAGATTACTGTAATGGATGTTGATGAACACCACCACTGGATAGCACAAATGGAGATGTTACCGGAAACATTAAAAGCTATTGACAACAATGTCAAGATACTAAGCAGATTTAGCACATTTTTCCTCGACGAAAAGAAGAAACAAAAGAAAAAAATATGTAAGGGTGCTTTATGATTTTGAAGATGGAGTTTGACTTTTTATTAAAGAAACGGCTTCTTTTTCTTTTTCTTTTTTTATTTTGAGACAGTCTCACTCTATTACCCTCTCACTCTATTACTCTCTTGCCTCAGCCTCTTGAGTAGCTGGGATTATGAGCACCTGCCACCATGCCTGGCTAATTTTTTTGTATTTTTAATAGAGACAGGGGTTTCATCATGTTGGACAGGCTGGTTTCGAACAAGTGATCCGCCAACCTTGGCCTAGAAAAGTGCTAGGATTAGAGGTGTGAGTTACTGCACCCAGCCAACAATCTACTTTGAGAACATTTCCATTATCCAAAAAGATCCCTCATGCTAATTTGTAGTCAATCTCATACCCATCAGCAGCGCCAGACAGTCACTCATGTACTTTCTCTCCCACTACATTTGCTTTTTCTGGATATTTCACACAAACAGAATCATATTATATGTGGTATTTGCTGTCTGTTTTCTTTCAACTAGCACAATGTTTTTGAAATTCAGTTATGTTATAGGACATTTTGGTAATTTCTTTTCATTGCTAGTTTACACAGTTGTTTAGATATACCACATTTTGTTTACCGATTCACCAGTTGATACACATTTGAACTGTTTCCACTTTGGGCTTTTATGAATAATGCCATTATTTATCCATTTTTTGGGTAGATAGCCAGGAGTGCCATTATTTACTCATTTATTTTGGGTAGATAGCTAGGAGTAGAATTGCTAGGACATATGGTAAGTTTAACTTTTTTTAATTTTTTGAGACAGAGTCTAGCTCTGTCACCAGGCTGGAGTGCAGTGGCAGGATCTCAGCTCACTACAACCTCCGCTTCCCAGGTTCAAGCGATTCTCCTGCTCAGCCTCCAGAGTAGCTGGGACTACAAGCACGTGCCACCATGCCTAGCTAATTTTTTGTATTTTTTTTAGTAGAGATGGGGCTTCACCATATTGGTCAGGATGGTCTCGATCTCCTGACCTTATGATCCATCCACCTTGGCCTCCCACAGTGTTGGGATTACAGGCGTAAGCCAAGGCAGCCGGCTTATGTTTAACTTTTAAAGAAACTCTCAACTGTTTTCCAAAATGACTGTACCATTTTGCATTCTCATCAGCAATGTATGCAGGTTCCAATTTCTCCATTTCCTCAATAACACTTGTTATTGTCTTTTTTTATTATGGCCACCCTTGTATATGTGAAGTGGTATCTCACTGTGGTTTTGGTTTACATGCATTTCCTTTTCTTTTTTTTTTTTTTTTTTGAAACAGAGTTTCATTCTTGTTGCCCAGGCTGGAGTGCAATGGCGCGATCTTGGCTCACTGCCACCTCTGCCTCCCGAGTTCAAGTGATTCTCCTGCCTCAGCCCCCCAAGTAGCTGAGATTACAGGCATGCACCACCACGCCCAGCTAATTTTGTATTTTTAGTAGAGAGGGGGTTTCTCCATGTTGGTCAGACTCTTGAACTCCTGACCTCAGGTGATCCGCCTGCCTCGGCTTCCCAAAGAGTTGGGATTACAGGCGTGAGCCACGGCGCCCGGCCCCGTTTGCATTTTTCTAGGCAAATGATGCTAAGCATGTTTCATGTGCTTATTAACCCTTTCTATATATTTTTTAGTGAAATATCTATTCAAATACTTGCCCAATTTTTTGGTTTTTTTGAGACAGTTTTGCTCTTGTTGCCCAGGCTGGAGTGCAATGGCACGATGTCGGCTAACCGCAACCTCTGCCTCCCGGGTTCAAGCTATTCTCCTGCCTCAGCCTCCTGAGTAGCTGGGATTACAGGCATGTGCCACCATGCATGGCTAATTTTGTATTTTTAGTAGAGATGGGGTTTCTCCATGTTGGTCAGGCTGTCCTCGAACTCCCAACCTCAGGTGAGTTGCCTGCCTCAGCTTCCCAAAGTGCTGGGATTACAGACATGAGCCATCACGCCCGGCCTACTTGTCCATTTTTTAAATTGAGTTTTAACATTTCTTTATACCTTCTGGATATAGGTCTTTTTTTTTTTTTTTTTTTTTAATAGGGTCTTGCTCTGTTGGCTGAGCTGGAGTGCATTGGTGCAATAGTATATCACTGCCACCTGGAATTCCTGGGCTCAGAGGATCCTCCTGCCTCAGCCTCCTGAGTCACTGGGACTACAGGTGTGTGCCACCACACCCAGCTTATTTTTAAAAACTTTTTTTTTTTTTTTTTTTTTTGGGACGGAGTTTCGCTCTTGTTACCCAGGCTGGAGTGCAATGGCGCGATCTCGGCTCACCGCAACCTCCGCCTCCTGGGTTCAGGCAATTCTCCTGCCTCAGCCTCCCGAGTAGCTGGGATTACAGGCACACGTCACCATGCCCAGCTAATTTTTTGTATTTTTAGTAGAGATGGGGTTTCACCGTGTTGACCAGGATGGTCTCGATCTCTTGACCTCGCGATCCACCCGCCTCGGCCTCCCAAAGTGCTGGGATTACAGGCTTGAGCCACCGCACCCGGCCTTAAAAACTTTTTGTAGAGACAGAGTCCCACCATGTTGTTCAGGCTGGTCTCAAACTCCTGAGCTCAAATGATCCTCCTGCCTCAGCCTCCCAAAGTTCTGGGATTATAGGCGTGAGTCACCACACATGGCTGGATATAAGTCCTTTATCAGAAAAGTGATTTGCAAATATTTTCTCCCTTTCTGTGACTTGTCTTCATTTTCTTAGTGGTGTTTTTAAAGCCTAAAAGTGTTAGTTTGATGAAATCTAATCAATCAATTTATCAATTTTTTAAAATGAATCATGATTTTAATATTGTACTAAGAACTCATATCACTCAGGGTTCAATAAGAGAGGCAGAATTATATAACATTATAGATAATTTTTTTGCAATTAGGAAACATACTTTGTATGATTTCTTTTTATTTATTTATTTATTTATTTTTGAGACAGTCTCACTCTGTCACACAGGCTGGAGTGCAGTGGCACGATCTTGGCTCACTGCAACCTCTGCCTCCTAGGTTCAAGTGATTCTCCTGCCTCAGCCAATAATGCCACTGGGCATGGGTTTTTCCAGGCTTTGTGCCAAGTCAAATCATCCCCGTAGGCAGTAGAGTTGTCAATCCTTACAGTCTGTCTCACTCTGGTAGAAGTCCCCGGCCATGGATCTAGGGGTTTGAGGATGGATGCAACTCCAATTTAGCACACTTTCACTGTTTGTTACTAAGGTTCTGTAGTTTTTTGTGAATAAATGCTTCTCATTGTGTTGTATGCCTTTGGTCAGTTTTCAAAATCCTAAAATCGTTGTTTTGATAGTTTTGCCCTGTTTTATCTTTGCTTTTGGGAAAAAAAATTGTTGATTTTTTTCACTCAGCCATTCTGCAAATCTTTTCAAATGTGAGTCTTTTTTTTTTTTTTTTGATGGAGTCTCACTCTGTCACCTAGGCTGGAGTGCAGTGGCGTGATCTTGGCTCACCGCAACCTCTGCTTCCCAGGTTTAACCTGTTCTCCCGTCTCAGCCTCCCAAGTACCTGGGACTACAGGCTCATGCCACCACACCCAGCTAATTTTTGTATTTTTAGTAAAGACAGGGTTTCACCATGTTGGCCAGCCTGATCTTGAACTCCTGACCTCAAGTGATCCACCTGCCTCAGCCTCCCAAAGTGCTGGGATTACAGGAGTGAGCCACCATGCCTGGCCAAATGTGTGTCTTTTATCTGTTAATTTATGACACTTTTGAGAGAACTAAGGTTAGCTTTGATTCAGAAAAAAAGAGAAAGGAGAGACAGGAATCTGAGAAAGAAAATGGAAAGTATTAGCACAACCAAAGCCAAGGCAAAGTTTTGTCTTACTTTTTTTTTTTTGAGATAGAGTCTCTCTTTCTCATACAGTCTTGAGTGCAGTGGTGTGATCTTGCCTCACTGCAACCTCTGCCTCCTGGGTTCAAGCAATTCTCCTGCCTCAGCCTCTTGAGTAGCTGGGATTATAGGTGCACACCATCGCATGGCTAATTTTTGTATTTTTAGTAGAGATGGGGTTTCACCATGTTGGCTAGGCTGGTCTTGAGCTCTTGACCTTAGGTGATCCGCCTGCCTTGGCCTCCGAAAGTGCTGGGATTACAGGCATGAGCCACCAAGCCTGGCCTTGTCTTACATTATATCTAACCCCAAACTTGTAACTAAAATTAAGTTGAGGTCGTAGCTGAGTTCATGTCCTAAACTCTGGAAGCAGAAGTTTTAGTTGGCAGGTCCTGTGGCTTGCACCTGTAACACCAGCAACTCAGAGAGGCAGGGAGGCTGAGGCAGGAGGATTGCTTGAGCCCAAGTTGAGGCTGTAGTGATCATGCTGCTGCACTCCAGCCTGGGAAACAGGGAGATCCCTCTCAACAAAAAAGAAAGAAAAAGTTGTAGGTGATTATGTGAAAAGAGTCATTCTTTTAAAAATAATACTGTTTATTTTAGAGTTAAAGTTTTCAGATTAATCTTTATCTTATAGTTAATTAGTTATAGTTAATCTATGCTAAATTCCTTAGGTTTAAACATAGATAAACACAATGCAAAAGAAAAAGTGCAATTTCACAGTTTTACGTTTTTTTCTTCAGTATCTAGAGGTACTCTGTGGAAATCTTGGAAAGAAAGAGTCATGAAACGACCTGCAACAGCCCATGCTTTAAGACCAGATCAGATGATTAGTGATCAGTTTGCAACAAATACAAAGGTTTCAGAAATCCAAGGTATGCTACAGGAACTCATAGCCACCACAATGTTCAGTACATTGGAAAACAATGCTATTAAATATATATCATCAACAATAGTAAACCTTTCTAAAGCTTTGAGTGCGCTAAGTGATGAATTAAAAGGTATTAACTTCCAAAGTTCCACTATATATGAACATGAAACAAGTGAAGCAGGAAAGGAGCTCTCTCTGAACATAATACAAGATCTCAGTAACGAAAATGAAATGCTTCAGCAGAAACTTCATGATGCAGAAGAAAAATGTGAACAACTTCTTCGATCCAAAATTGTTACAGAACAGGTGTATAAAACATTGTCTGCATCATCAACTGTGAAAGCATTACCTGGATCTTCTCTGCAGTCATCCAGGGCCACTATCAAAGCTGATGATATTGAGGACAATATGGACAATATTTTAGACAAGGAACTTGAAAATATTGTAAAAGAAGTCCAAAGAAAAGGGACCAAGGGCTCTGGAATAACATGGGACTCCACTATTTCATATACAGCCCAAGCTGAAACAACTCCAGATTTAACTGAACAGCAACAGCAACCTGTGGCTTCCAAAGATATTTCTGAAGATGGCACTAAAGATTACGTATCACTGAGGAAAGGTGACGAGTATCAAGCATGGAAAAAAAAGCACACAAAAGTCACATATGTAGATGAGACTTCTGAACCAAATCTGAGTGATAATAAAGATGGACAGAAAGTCTCAGAGGCCCAACCTAGTCAATACTATGAGCTACTGGAAAAGAAAAGAAAAGAAAAGAAATCCATATCTGAAGTCAAATCAAAGTCACCCACTGAAGCAAAAGGCCAACATCTCTTTTTCACTGAAACAAAGAGCCAAGGTGGCAGAAGTAGAACAAGTATTATGTTGGAGCAATTTAGGAAGGTCAAACGTGAGTCCCCATTTGACAGAAGACCAACTGAACCAGAGATTAAAGTAGAACCCACCACTGAGGCATTGCACAAAGAAAGCAAAGGTGAAATCAGAAGCCTAGTGAAGCCACTCAGTACAATCCAATCTGATTATACTGCTGAGCCACAGAAAGGAAAAATAAAAGGAAAAAAACACCATATCTCTTCAGGAACTACTGCAAGCAAAGAAGAAAAAACTGAAGAGAAGGAAGTGTTAACCAAACAAGTCAAATCTCATCAACTTGTTAAATCACTCTCAAGGGTAGCTAAAGAGATTTCAGAATCTACCAGAGTTCTAGAAAGTCCAGATGGCAAAAGTGAACAGAGTAACCTCGAAGAATTTCAGAACGCCATAATGGCTTTCCTAAAACAGAAAATCGATAACATCGGAAAGCCTTTTGACATAAAGACTCATCTGAAGGAAGAGGAGTTATTAAAAAGAGCAGAAGCTGAAAAATTAGGAACCATAAAGGCAAAAATGGAGGAATATTTCCAAAAAGTGGCTGAAACTGTGACTAAAATCTTGAGAAAATACAAAGATAAAAAAAAGGAAGAACAAGTTGGGAAACCTAAAAAACAAAAAAAGGTAGTCTCATTTATGCCAGGATTGCATTTTCAGAAGTCTGAAAGCAGCACCTTTCTCTCACATGAGAGCACAGATCCAGTAATTAACAATTTAATACAAATGATCTTGGCTGAAATTGAAAGTGAAAGAGATGTTTCAACAGTCCCAAAAGTACAGAAAGACCGCAAGGAGAGGGAAGAACAAAGGCAGGAGCAAGAGGATTTGCAAGAGGATCAAGAACAAATGTCTGGTGTGAGTCTCAAACAACAGTTGCTGGAAGAAAGAAATCTCTTAAAGGAGCACTATAAGAGGATAAGTGAGAATTGGGAAGAGAAAAAGGTGTATCGCCAGATGAAGGAGGGAAAGCAAGAACAACAGAGACAGAAACAGTGGCAGGAAGAAGAGATATGGAAGACAGAGCAAAAAGAGAGGACTCCAAAGCAGACGGAGCAAGAGGACAAGCAAAAGCAAAGAGGACTGGAGGAAGAAGAGCTTCCAGAGTCAAGCCTGCAGTGGCTGGAAGAAGGGATGCAAAAAATGAAGGCACAAGGGTTGCTCTTGGAAAAGGAGAATGGACAGATAAGGCAGATTCAGAAGGAAGTGAAACATCTGGAGCCAATCATAAAACAGGAGAAAGAGAAGAAAAAGCAGAAGCCAGGGAGAGGGCTAGAGGACCTTGAAAGGCAAAGACAGACCGAAACAAAGGATCGGATGCAGATGAAGAAAACAAAACCTACAGAGCTAGAAAAAGTGGTCATCCAAACTCCAATGACATTATCTCCCAGGTGGAAGAGCGCAGTGAAAGATGTACAGCAGTTATATCAAGGAGAAGCGTTTCATAGGAATCTGAAGAAGTTAGAAAATCTTCCTGATGAAAAGAAGCCCGTACTAGCCACACCTCCCTCCCCACAATCCTCCCCACCTGGAGCTCTACCTATTTCTGGACAGCCTCTCAGTAAACGCATTCATTTCACACCACAGCTGGCCCAGGAAGTGGGGATCACCCTCAGCCCTCAGCAGGCCCAGGAACTAGGGATCCCTCTTACCCCTCGGCAGGCCCAGGCTCAGGGGATCACTCTCACCCCTCAGCAGGCCCAGGCCCTGGGAATTCCTCTGACCCCTCAGCAGGCTCAGGAACTAGGAATCCCTCTCACCCCTCAGCAGGCCCAGGATCAAGGGATCACTCTCACCCCTCAACAGGCTCAGGAACTGGGGATCACTCTCACCCCTCAGCAGGCCCAGGCCCCGGGGATCCCTCTCACCCCTCAGCAGGCCCAGGCCCTGGGGATCACTCTCACCCCTCAGCAGGCTGAGGCTCAAGGGATCACTCTTACCTCTCAACAGGCCCAGGCCCTAGGGATCCCTCTCACCCCTCAGCAGGCTCAGGCTCAGAAAATCACTCTCACCCCTCAGCAGGCCCAGGCCCTGGAGATTCCTCTCACCCCTCAACAGGCCCAGGAATTGGGGATCACTCTCACCCCTCAGCAGGCACAGGCCCTGGGGATTCCTCTCACCCTTCAGCAGGCCCAGGAACTGGGGATCCCTCTCACCCCTCAGCAGGCCCAGGCTCAGGGGATCACTCTTACCCCTCAGCAGGCCCAGGCCCTGGGGATCCCTCTCACCCCTCAGCAGGCCCAGGGTCAGAAGATCACTCTTACCCCTCAGCAGGCCCAAGTCCTGGGGATCCCTCTCACCCCTCAGCAGGCCCAGGCTCAAGGGATCACTCTCACCTCTCAACAGGCTCAGGAACTGGGGATCACTCTCACTCCTCAGCAGACCCAGGCCCTGGGAATCTCTCTCACCCCTCAGCAGGCCCAGGCCCTGGGGATCCCTCTCACCCCTCAGCAGGCCCAGGCACTGGGGATCCCTCTCACCCCTCAGCAGGCCCAGGAACTGGGGATCCCTCTCACCCCTCAGCAGGCCCAGGAACTGGGGATCCCTCTCACCCCTCAGCAGGCCCAGGTCCTGGGGATCCCTCTCACCCCTCAGCAGGCCCAGGCCCTGGGGATCCCTCTCACCCCTCAGCAGGCCCTGGAACTGGGGATCCGTCTCACCCCTCAGCAGGCACAGGCTCAGGGGATCCCTCTCACCCCTCAGCAGGCCCAGGAACTGGGGATCCCCCTTACCCCTCAGCAGGCCCAGGAACTGGGGATCACTATCAGCCCTCAGCAGGCTCAGGAACTGGGGATCGCTCTCACCTCTCAACAGGCACAGGCTCAGGGGATCACTCTCACCCCTCAGCAGGCCCAGGCACTGGGAGTCCCTATAACCTCAGCAAATGCCTGGGTGTCAGCTGTCACTCTTACCCCTGTGCAAACCCAGGCTTTGGAGTCTCCTATCTACTTAGAACAGGCTCAAGAACAGTCATTGAAATTAGGGGTCCCTCTCACCTTAGATAAAGCCCATACCTTGGGATCGCTCCTCACCCTTAGCCAAGTCCAACCTTTGGGCTTCCCCTTCACCCCAGGACAGGTCCAGCCTGTGCGTATTACTCTCATGTCTGAGCATGATCCTAAATCAAGGGCTTCTGTCACACCAAGAGTGCCTCACATTCCTAAGCAGCAGGCCATATTGGCTACTCCTACCCATAGACTATTTCAGGAATCAAAGGCTTCTCTCCCCACTGGGCAATCCATCATATCAAGATTATCTCCAAGCCTTAGGCTGTCTCTGGCATCATCTGCTCCTACTGCTGAGAAGTCCTCTATATTTGGGGTCTCTTCTACTCCTTTGCAGGTGTCAAGGCTTCCCCTCAATCAAGGCACCTTTGCCCCTGGGAAGCCCCTAGAAATGGGGATTCTACCTGAGGCTGGTACACTTGGGCCACCACAGACTCTTCATTCCTCTGGACAGACCCTGGTATACGGAGGTCAATCCACTTCTGTGCAGTTACCAGCACCACAGGCCCTTCCCACTCCTGGGCAGCTCCCAATATCTGGGGCCCCTCCCACTCCAGGGCAGCCCTTTGAACAGGAGGCCCTTAGCTCTAGGGAGCTTTTCAAAACTGGGGCCTCTCTGACTCCTCTACCACCTCGAATGTCAAAAGCCCCTCTTGCCCCCAGGCAGCAACTTATAGCTGCAGTCCCACCCGCTTCTGGACAGATTCCCAGTCTCTGGGCTCCTCTCTTTCCTGGGCAGCCCTTAGTTCCTGGAGCCTCTTCCATCCATGGGGACCGCCTGCAATCTGGATCCTTAACCTTCTCTGAGCAGCTCCAGGAATTCCAGCCTCCTGCCACTGCTGAGCAATCTCCCTATATTCAGGCTCCTTCTACTCTTGGGCAGCATTTGGCACCATGGACCCTTCCTGAGCAAGCTTCTTCATTATGGATCCCTCCCACCCCTAGACATCCTCCCATTTGGTCCCCTTCTTTTGCTAAGAAGAGACTGGCATTTATTTCTTCTCTGAAATCTAAATCAGCACTGATCCATCCTAGTGCTCCAGATTTCAAGGTATCTCAAGCTCCTTTCACCACTAAGTTCCAAATGTCAGAGGTCTCTGATACTTCTGAAGAAACCCAGATACTTCGAGATCCTTTTGCTATAGAATCATTTAGAACATTTCAGTCCCATCTCACCAAATACAGGACACCAGTATCGCAAACCCCTTACACTGATGAAGGGGCCCTTCCCACTCTCATGAAGCCTACAATATCACTATCTTCTCTTACTACTCTACTCAAAACAACACAGATTTCACCTCCTGAATGGTACCAGAAATCCCGCTTCCCTCCTATAGATAAGCCCTGGATACTGAGTTCAGTTTCAGGTACCAAGAAACCCAAGATTATGGTGCCTCCTTCCTCTCCTAAAGAACTTGAAGAGAAGAGGTATTTTGTTGATGTGGAGGCTCAGAAGAAGAACCTGATATTATTAAATCGGGCTATAAAAACTTGTGGATTCCCTTCACAGCTACACATAACAGCCAGGACTCTCATAATTGAGATACTTCATATGGACACGGTTCAGTTGGGATACCTATTCCGCAAGTACATTGCCTATAGGCTGATCCAGTATGCCAGGTAGATTTAATTATTATACATCTAGTTTTCTGGTTTAGTTCTGATTTCAAATATTCTCTGTCATTGCCCTAGAAGTATACTAATGTTTGTCATATGTTCTCAAAGACTGTCTTATATAAGGTCTATGGGATGGAAGCCTGTTTAAGATAGCAAAAGATCTATTTTTTAGAAAATAAGAAATGACATATACCATAATCCATTTCATTCATATATATCTCCAGCAGAGATGCCAAGTGTATTTTGTGGATCATGGTTTGTCTCCAAAATATCAACTTCAAAAGTTTAGAGATGCTTTCCAGTTATTCTGAATTTCTTTTTTTTTTTTTTTCCTTTTTTTTTGAGACAGAGTCTTGCTCTGTCACCCAGGCTAGAGTACAATGGTGTGATCGTGGCTCACTGCAACCTCTGCCTCCCGGGTTCAAGCGATTCCCCTGCCTCAGCTTCCTGAGTAGCTGGGATTACAGGTACAGGCCACCAAGGCTGGCTAATTTTTGTAATTTTAGTAGAGACAGGGTTTCACCATGTTGGTCAGGCTGGTCTCAAACTCCTGACCTCGTGATCCACCCACCTCGACCTCCCAAAATGCTGGGATTAAGGCATGAGCCATCGTGCCCGGCTGTGAATTTCTTTCATCCTTTTTGGTTCACCAGAAATATATGATTTTCAAAATGGAAGATGGCATAACAAAGAATGAGAGCAGGCATGGTGGCTCATGCCTATAATTCCAGCACTTTGGGAGGCTGAGGCAGGTGGATCACTTGAGGCCAGGAGTTCAAGACCAGTCTGGCTGAGATGGTGAAACCCTGTCTCTGCAAAAAATACAAAAATTACTCAGGCATGATCCCAGGATTACTTGGGAGTCTAGGGCAGGAGAATCTCTTGAACCTGGGAGGTGGAGGTTGCAATGAGTCAGCCGCGCCACTGCCCTCCAGCCTGGGTTTGGGAGTCAGACTGTCTCAAAACAAACAAACAAGAACGAGAACCTGCCATTTGCAACAACATGGACAAAACTGACGTCATTATGTTAAGTGAAATAAGCCAGGCACAGAAAGACAAACTTCACATGTTCCCACTTACTTGTGGGAGCTAAAAATTAAAATGATTTAACTCATGGACATAGAAAGTAGAAGGAAAGGATGGGTGCCATGATTCACGCCTGTATTCCCAGCACTTTGGAAGGCTTAGGAAGGAGGATCACTTGAGCCCAGGAGTGTGAGACCAGCCTGGACAACAAAGTGAGACCCTGTCTCTACAAAAAATACAAAAAAATTAGCTGGGCGTGACAGTGCATGCCTGTAGTACCAGCTATTCAGGAAGCTGAGCTTGGTGGATCACTCAAGCCCCAGGAGGTCGAGGCCGTAGCAAGCCAAGATCACACCGCTACACTCCAGCCTGGGTGACAGAGAGAGACCCAGTCTCAGGGGAAAAAAAAAAAAAGAGAGAAGGATGGTTACCAGAGGCTAGAAAGGGTAGTGGGGGTGGGGGGAAAATAGGGATGGTTAATGGGTACAAAAAAATAGAATGAATAAGAGCTAGCATTTGAAAACACAACAAGGTGATTATAGTCAATAATGTAATTGTACATTTAAAAATATCTAAAAAGGTATAATTGGATTGCTGGTAACACAAAGGTTAAATGCTTGAGGCAATGGATACCCCATTTACTCTGACGTGATTATTATACATTGCATGCCTGTATCAAAATATCTCCTGTAACCCCAAAATATGTATACCTACTATATAACCCCCCAAAATCTTTTTTAATGAAAAAAAAATATAGGCCAGGTGAGGTGGCTCATGCCTGTAATCCCAGTACTTTGAGAGGCTGAGGCAGGCGGATCATGAGGTCAAGAGTTCGAGACCAGCTGGCTAACATGGTGAAACCCCGTCTCTTCTAAAAATACAAAAATTAGCCGGGCTTCGTGGTGGGCACCTGTAATCCCAGCTACTCAGGAGGTTGAGGCAGAATAATTGCTTGAATCCAGGAAGCAGAGGCTGCAGTGAGCTGAGGTGGAGCCACTACACTTCAACCTGAGTGACAGAGCAAGACTGTCTCAGAAAAAAGAAAAAAAAAAAAAAGAAAAAAATGAAAGTAAATACAGGCAGTGGGTGGTGGCTCACGCCTATAATCCCAGCACTTTGGGAAGCCAAGGTGGGTGGCTCACTTGAGGTCAGAAGTTCCAGACCACCCTGGCCAACATGGTGAAACACCATCTCTATTAAAAAAAATACGGCCGGGCGCGGTGGCTCAAGCCTGTAATCCCAGCACTTTGGGAGGCCGAGGCGGGTGGATCGCGAGGTCAAGAGATCGAGACCATCCTGGTCAACATGGTGAAACCCCCCTCTACTAAAAATACAAAAAATTAGCTGGGGATGGTGGTGCGTGCCTGTAATCCCGGCTACTCAGGAGGCTGAGGCAGGAGAATTGCCTGAACCCAGGAGGCGGAGGTTGCGGTGAGCCGAGATCGCGCCATTGCACTCCAGCCTGGGTAACAAGAGTGAAACTCCGTCTCAAAAAATAAATAAATAAAATAAAATAAAAATAAAAAATAAAAAAAATGAAAAAAATTATCCAGGCATAATACAAAAAAATTACCCAGGCATGGTACAAAAAATTACCCAGGCATGGTGAAGCACACCTGTACTCCCAGCTATTTAGGAGGCTGAGGCAGAAGAATTGCTTGAACCCAGGAGGCAGAGGCTGCAGTGAGGCAAGACTGTGCCTTTGTTTCCAAAAAAAAAAAAAAAAAAAAAAAAGAAGTAAATACAAAGGGAGATGGCAGATTATGTAGGAGGTATGGCCACAGCAAATTTGCTGCTGGGGTGACCTGGAGGCAGCAGGTCCTGGTCCTGATTTTTAAAAGTTGCAAATATCAGAAATGGGTTAGGGCAGGTGACAATTTTCCTGCCATTCTTAACATTTGCACTTGAGGTTACCAACCTATTATTTTGGGGATTTTTTTTTTTTTTAATGGAGTCTCCCTCTTTCGCCCAGCATAGAGTGCAGTGGCGTGATCTTGGGTCACTGCAACCTTCGCCTTCCAAGTTCAAGCGATTCTCCTGGCTTCAGCCTCCTGAGTAGCTGGGATTACAGATATGTGCCACTACATCCAGCTAATTTGTATATTTTTAGTAGAGATGGAGTTTCACCATGTTGGCCAGGCTGGTCTCAAACTCCTGACCTCAGGTGATCCACCCGCCTCAGCCTCCCAAAGTCCTGGGATTACAGGTGGGAGCCACCATGCCTGGCTATTATTTTCTATTGATCTGCCTATTGATAAGTCACTTCCATTCTCTGTTATTTTAGTTTTATTTTTATGATGCTGAGTCTTTGAGGTCGTTGTTGGTGCTATTTGCCAGCATTTGTCAATGAGATGTGAGCAGAATTGATATGTTATTTCTGTGCTGAGCTTGTCAACTCATTTGATGACCCACAGAGTTTACTTTTCCTCTGGCATAATAACCCATAATGTTCAAGCTGATGGCTGTTCCTTTAGACATGGCGCTGAGAGAATACAGTGAAGTTCACTTCCTGCCAAGCCATGATGGATTCATAGTATGAGCAACAAGTAAACTGTTTGTTGTTTTAAGGCACTGAGGCTTGTGGGTTTTGCTAAAACAGTAAAACCTAGCTTATCTTCACGAATATAGTCTTCCTACCCAAGAATATGGTATATCTTTTTTTTTTTTTTGAGACAGAGTTTCACGTTGTCACCCAGGCCAAGTATACATCTCTTTTTTTTGTTCAGGTTTTTTTTTTGTGTGTGTGCATGTGCATGCGTGACCACATATGCACAAAATTTTAATTTTTATATGTTTAAATAAATGCATAAAACAGCTATAGGTCCAGGCATGGTGACTCATACCTGTAATCCTAGCAGCTACTTTAGGAGGCTGAAGTGGGCAGATCACCTGAGGTCAGGAATTCGAGACCAACCTGGTCAACATGGTGAAACCCTGTTTCTACTAAAAATACAATTATTAGGTGGGCATGGTGGCAGCTGCCTGTAATCCCAGATACTGAGGTAGCTGAGGCAGGAGAATCACTTGAACCCAGGAGGCAGACATTTCAGTGAGCTGAGATCACGCCACTACTGCACTCCATCCTGTATGACAGAGCAAGACTTGGTCTCAAAAAAAGAAAAAAAAAGAGCATCTTAAAGTTTTTGTCTAGCTCTTGCATATTCTAAGTGTTTTTTATTTTTGTTGTTGGTGCTATGGTAAATGGAGACTCAATATTGTATGCAACCATCTTGCTATATTAAAGCATGTGAACCTTTTGTTCATTGTCTTTCTTCTTTTTTGCTCTCTCTCCCCTCCCCTCCCTTCCCCTCCCCTCCCCTCTCTTTCTTTTTTTCTTTTGCAGGGTCTGGTTTTGTCACCCAAGCTGGAATGCAGTGGTGCAATCTTGGCTCAGTGCAACCTCTGCCTCCTAGGCTCAAGCAATCCTTCCACCACAGCCTTTTGGCCTATAGGCATATGCCACCATATCTGGCTAACTTTTGTATTTTTTATAGAGACAGAGTTTCACCATGTTGCCCAGGCTGATCTCCAACTCCTAAGCTTAAGTGATTTACCCACCTCAACCTCCCAAAGTGCTGGGTTTACAGGTGTGAAACACCATGTACAGCCTCAATTGATTTTCTTGAGTTTTCCAGATATATAATCATCTTACTTGAAAATGATTTTTTAATATCTAGATTTTCCAACTTTTTTTTTTTTTTTTTTTTTGAGACAGTCTCACTCTGTTGCCCAGGCTGGAGTGCAGAGGCATGATCTCAGCTCACTGCAACCTCCACCTCCAGGGTTCAAGAGATTCTCCTGTCTCAGCCACCACCCTCCCAGTGGCTGGGATTACAGGCACACACCACCTGGCTAATTTTTGTATTTTCAGTAGAGATGGGGTTTTGCCATGTTGGCCAGGCTGGTCTCGAACTCCTGACCTTAAGTGATCCACCTGCCTTGGCCTCCCAAAGTGCTGGGATTATAGGCATAAACCA